CACGCACGCTCACGACGCCTAGTTTTTTAATCACGCACGCTCCCGCACGCTTCTTCACGGACATTTTTTTTTCAAATTGAAACTTTATTTATATAAATAGGCCTTATCGCAAAAAAATCGGTACTGTGTTTCCATTGGAAATATGATATAATATTTTAAAACTTGCACCAAAATATTTCGGAAAAATTGTAATTAAAACCGCTTCTTAAAGAATTGAAAAAAATCCCCTCAGATAACAAAACAGTTTAAGCGTAAAAAATCTGCATAAAAATATTTAAAAAAAAATTTCACCGGAATCGTAATATTGAGATTTTTGATGCCATTTTTTTTTAACTTTTTTCAAAGATTGGTATAAGAAAAACTTGAATAACTGGACCAAAACTTTTCCGATTTGGAGTTATGAGGTTTTGAATAAGTTTTTTTTGCACACAAATAAAAATAGTGGGAAACTACCTTTCCAATTATACCTCAAAAGTGTGATATGTGAAAATTACGTGATTGACGGAAAACTAACTCACGCACGCTCACGCCAGCAAAAATTTCAGTCCCGCACGATCACGGAAATTACGTGATTTTTCTCTCAAACCCGCTCACGCTCACGTATCAAAAAGCGTGACACCACGTGTCACGTAGAAAATCACGTATTTTGCCCATCTCTACTTTCTACGACGGTTTTCTTAAGTTTTCTAAAGTAAAAAAGGAGCACAAAGCAACCCACCTTTTCAACAGAAATATATGCAGGTTCCATTATTTCGTAAAGAAAGATTGAGACAGCAGGCTGTTAAATATCAGATGTCAAAATTCCTTTGACACAAACAAAATAATGGCAATTTTTTCTTGACCGTTTTCTTAGGAGCTGGATTCTTAGCTTAAATAGGAACATTGACAGTGGTTTAGAAAAATATTTGGGGAAAAGTTATAGGTATTTTGTTTTTGTCAAGAGATGTCGCTCTAAATTTAAATGGTTGTAAATCAAACAAAAATATGCAAACTCCACATGCATTTATTGTAAAATATGTGTAATAAATAAGCCAAAGGGATTTTTTGCAAAATATGTATTAACGTTTGAATGCCATTTGTAAAAATAACCTAACCATTTCCATCTGTAGATGTCCAATAAAAACATGGGGAAAATTTTAGTATGCGGACGGCAAATTTTAGAAAAAGTGTGGATGAGGGGGGGTAGAATAGGACTGTCTGGTTTCAAAAATATCCCCCTTTTTTTCTAGCAACCCTATAGTTTTTATATAATTTGTTGTTAAAGTTTTCGTATAAACGATGAATAAGATAGCAAAATAACATCAAACTTGGTGCTGCCAGACTGGAATTTTGAATAATAAAAGCAGATTTTTAATGCAGAATTTGCACTTAGTAGAATTCTCCTTTCTGTGTTGCCGAAGAAAAGGTGCTGAACACCTTTCGCAGAGAACACCTTCTGCCTTCGGCCGCACTTAGGGATTATACCTACGGTGACCACCCGTCCTTTATTTTAAAGGACAGTCCTTTATTTTAGAACCCTGTCCTTTATAATTTCTTTCAAAATAAATGACGCCTTTGTCCTTTATTTCTTAAACTGTCCTTTAAATCGGCTCTGCATTTTTCAGAGGTAAACTTTTAAACGCAGAATATGAAAAATGAAAATGTCCCTTATAAAATATAATGAAAACATTCCCCAGTTTGTTTCGCGTCCCACTTAAGGGTTTCTATTTAATTGGTTATCTTTGTACAATCTATAAAGCACAGGGAAAGTTGTGCCCAGGATCGTGTTGCACGCTGAGTTTCCAGTTCCACTGAAATAGAACAATAAACCCCCTGCTGCACAGTGGTTCAAAACTGGCATTAAGTGTTCATAATTCATTGGAGCCTTCATTTTTCACTTCATCTGATTAATTTGTATTTTTCTTTTATGAAAGCTTACAATATTTGCAAGAGACCAGTTGAGCCTGATTTCTGAATTTTTATTTGATCATATTAAATTTTTTTGTGCAAACTGCAGAAAAAGTAGCGATTTTGAAGAAAATGTATTCTCCTGTTCCAGTTAATAAATGTTTCGTAACAAAAACTAGTTGAAAACAATTGTATGGTTCTCTCAAAACAAAAAAAAATACACAAACAAAAATTTTGAAATGTTATAAAAAAATGTTCACCAAAATAAATCTTTTTTTTTTGCTTTTTAGTAAAAATTGGTTGCAAAATGAAGACTCCAGTTTTGAACCACTGTGTGCTGACTTCGTCGAAGTCCTTGGATTTGGCTTCATTTTTCGCTAGAGCATTGGAAATTGGACAATTAAATAATATAATTAACTGGTAAATACTTGATTTAAATTACGATATGGGTAAGGTACTTTTATCATACAAGTTGTATGTACGTATTCCCAAATCATTTTGAAAAAAAATGTCCTTTATTTTACGTTGGTTAATATGGTCACCGTAATTATAACCCTCACTAAGTAGAATTCTCCTTTCGGTGTTGCCAAAGAAGAGGGCTGAACACCATTTGCAGAGAACACCTTTCTGCGTAGGCAGCCTTCGGCCGCACTTAGGGATTATAA